AGCAGCATCAGTAGCAGCAGCAGCATCAGCAGCAGCATCATCATGAGCATCATCATCAACTGCAGCAGCAGCATCAGCAGCAGCATCATGAGCATCAGCAGCAGCATCAGTAGCAGCAGCAGCATCAGCATCAGCAGCATCAGCAGCAGCATCATGAGCATCATCAGCATCAGAAGCAGCAGCAGCATCAGCATCATCATCATCAGCAGAAACAGCAGCATCATCCCAGGTGGAGGTGGCATCTAAAGGTCACCAATAAACTTGCGCCCTCCAGGACGGGAGGAGAGCGCAGGGGGGGTGGGGGTGGGGGGGGGCGTCGTTCTCGCGCCTCCGCGGGCACGAGGACGGTGAATGTCGAGCGCCGCGGTGGAGAAGCAGCAGCGGCACGCGGAGCAGCACGAGGAGGAGGTGGAGGAGGTGGAGGAGAAGCAGGTGCAGAAGGAGGGGCAGGTGGAGGGGCAGCTCGAGGGGCAGGTGGAGGAGCAGGAGCAGGTGGAGGTGGAGGAGAAGGTGGTGGAGCAGGTGGAGGGGCAGCTCGAGGGGCAGGTGGAGGGGCAGGTGGAGGTGGAGGAGCAGGAGGAGGGGCAGGTGGAGGGGCAGGTGGAGGAGCAGGTGGAGGGGCAGGTGGAGGAGCAGGAGCAGGTGGAGGAGCAGGTGGAGGTGGAGGGGCAGGTGGAGGAGCAGGTGGAGGTGGAGGAGCAGGTGGAGGGGCAGGTGGAGGAGCAGGAGCAGGTGGAGGTAGTGGAGCAGGTGGAGGAGAAGGTGGTGGAGCAGGTGGAGGAGCAGGTGGAGGTGGAGGAGCAGGAGGAGGGGCAGGTGGAGGTGGAGGGGCAGGTGGAGGAGCAGGAGGAGGGGCAGGTGGAGGGGCAGTTGGAGGAGCAGGTGGAGGGGCAGGTGGAGGAGCAGGTGCAGGAGCAGGTGGAGGGGCAGGTGGAGGAGCAGGAGCAGGTGGAGGTAGTGGAGCAGGTGGAGGAGAAGGTGGTGGAGCAGGTGGAGGAGCAGGTGGAGGTGGAGGGGCAGGTGGAGGAGCAGGTGGAGGTGGAGGGGCAGGTGGAGGAGCAGGTGGAGGTGGAGGGGCAGGAGGAGGGGCAGGTGGAGGAGCAGGTGGAGGTGGAGGGGCAGGAGGAGGTGGAGGGGGAAGCTTTGAGGGCGATGGAAGGAGGGGAGACGCCACTGACACCTCACAGCCGCCTCTGGGATCTGCTCCTTTGGCAGCAGAACGCCGGCCACAGCGAGGAGACAAAGTAAGCGAAGCGACCTTGGGTCGCGCTACTGCTGCTACTACTGCTGCAGCTGCTGCTACTGCTGCTGCAGCTGCTACTGCTGCTGCCGATGCTGCTGCTCGTGTGCAGCAGCTGCAGGAAGCTTCCCCGATATGCCGTCGAGTTGTGCCGCTATGTGCTGTTGTTGTTGATGATCGGCGCGATGTCCGACGTTTTGCTCCATCCGCTGGAAGAATATTCAGGAAACGACTTGGTTAGGTTCTGACCTCGCTCATGACTTAGTCGGGTTCGCAACTGACTGACCTTGGCTACTTTTGCATCTCAACTGGCTGATGATTTGGGTCGTCAGCTTATGAACAGACGGGATCTTCGGTTCTTCAAATCTGTGCACGCAAAAAAAATAAATCCCCATTGGCGGCCCCTGTGGCTCGGCGCCCGCCTCGTTGCAGATGCGGTTCGCGGTTCCAATCCCGGCAGGGGCTGCCCTGGTCAATACTGCGGCGCCTGGTTTGAAGGCCATCGTGTGCCCGCCGGCATCAACGAAAAAATTTCCGAAAAATCGAAACGATCGTCCCACCCCCCCCCCCACCGCCCTTCTCCTCCTGCCAGACTCGGGGGTGTCCCTAGGCACAGCGACTGCCCCCCCCCCCCCCCCCCCCCCTGTGCGACCACCGCAGGCTGTGTCTGTGTGACAGCGACGGTGCCAGTAGCACGTGGACTGGATCATAGCTCGGGTCATCCCTCCCCCCCCCCCCCCCTCCTCCAAAATGTTTTCGTAAAAAGTCTTAAGTGGCTTCCTGTGTAACGATTATGGACCAGTGTTCGTCTCTTTGGAGAAAGCCACTGGGTGGAAATTCCACGATCACGTGGCTGGGATGAGTATCGTCTCATGACGTCATCATCATCATCATCAGCCACGATCAATCCACGGGAACCGGTTCCGCTATCACTCGCCACTGATGTCTAGGTCGCCGGTTTCTTGTGACGCGGTCTATGCGTGCACGTTGAACTTCTTTCGCACCGCACGTAGCCAGCCGTGCTACTCGCGAGTGCGCCAAACCACTGCGTGTGACGCGAGTACCGTCACGTGGAAGGTCAACGCCACGTCGAAGGTCAACGTCAACGGTGCGGCCCTGCAAGTTGCTTGCTCATGCCACCGTCGGCACTCTCAAGAGAGGCCCTCGAGGTGGGATGGCGATGTCAGAAGTAGCTCTGTGGTATCCAGTTCTGTGGGGCGAGGCGGGGGAGATGTGAACATTCCCGTTGGCTATGCCCCTCATCTCGATCCTCGACGTGACGCCACTGAGCACAGCTGGTGTGAAGCAGATGCAGGCGCAGCCCCTGCAGCTGCTCGCTCGCGCGGGCTGCTGACGGAAGGGGGTCTCCCACTCGAGGCGGCTCTGGAGAGAGACGCGGGGGGGGGGGGGGGTCCGAGGGCTCATTGCCTTTTTTTGGACGTGGAGTCACCACTTTGTGCCACCAACACCACCACCACCAACACCACCAACACCACCACCACCAACACCACCACCACCAACACCACCACCACCACCAACACCACCACCACCAACACCACCACCACCACCACCAACACCACCACCACCACCAACACCACCACCACCAACACCACCACCACCACCAACACCACCACCACCAACACCACCACCAACACCACCACCACCAACACCACCACCAACACCACCACCACCACCACCAACACCACCACCACCACCAACACCACCACCACCAACACCACCACCACCACCAACACCACCACCACCAACACCACCAACACCACCAACACCACCACCACCAACACCACCAACACCACCAACACCACCACCAACACCACCACCATCACCACCACCACCAACACCACCACCACCAACACCACCACCACCACCAACACCACCACCACCAACACCACCACCAACACCACCACCACCACCACCAACACCACCAACACCACCAACACCACCAACACCACCAACACCACCACCACCAACACCACCAACACCACCACCACCACCAACACCACCAACACCACCACACCACCACCACCAACACCACCACCACCACCAACACCACCAACACCACCACCACCACCAACACCACCAACACCACCACCACCACCAACACCACCACCACCACCAACACCACCAACACCACCAACACCACCAACACCACCACCACCAACACCACCAACACCACCACCACCACCAACACCACCAACACCACCAACACCACCACCACCAACACCACCACCACCACCAACACCACCAACACCACCACCACCACCACCAACACCACCACCACCACCAACACCACCACTACCACCAACACCACCACCACCAACACCACCACCACCACCAACATCACCACCAACACCACCAACACCACCACCACCAACACCACCACCACCACCACCACCAACACCACCACCACCACCAACACCACCACCACCAACATCACCACCACCACCAACACCACCACCACCAACACCACCAACACCACCACCACCACCAACACCACCACCACCACCAACACCACCACCACCACCAACACCACCACTACCACCAACACCACCACCACCAACACCACCACCACCACCAACATCACCACCAACACCACCAACACCACCACCACCAACACCACCACCACCACCAACACCACCACCACCACCAACACCACCACCACCAACATCACCACCACCACCAACACCACCACCACCAACACCACCAACACCACCACCACCACCACCAACACCACCACCACCAACACCACCACCAACACCACCAACACCACCACCACCAACACCACCACGACCACCAACACCACCACGACCACCAACACCACCACCACCAACACCACCACCACCAACACCACCAACACCACCAACACCACCACCACCACCACCAACACCACCACCACCACCAACACCACCACCACCACCAACACCACCACCACCACCAACACCACCACGACCACCAACACCACTACCACCACACCACCACCAACACCACCACCAACACCACCACACCACCACCACCACCACCAACACCACCACCACCAACACCACCAACACCACCACCACCACCAACACCACCAACACCACCACCACCACCAACACCACCAACACCACCACCACCACCACCAACACCACCACCAACACCAACACCACCACCAACACCACCACCAACACCACCAACACCACCAACACCACCAACACCACCAACACCACCACCAACACCAACACCACCACCAACACCACCACCAACACCAACACCACCACCAACACCACCACCAACACCAACACCACCACCAACACCACCACCAACACCACCAACACCACCAACACCAACACCACCAACACCACCACCACCATCACCACCACCACCAACACCACCACCACCAACACCACCAACACCACCACCACCAACACCACCACCACCAACACCACCACCACCACCAACACCACCAACACCACCAACACCACCACCACCAACACCACCAACACCACCACCACCACCAACACCACCACCAACACCACCACCACCACCAACACCACCACTACCACCAACACCACCACCACCAACACCACCACCACCAACATCACCACCAACACCACCAACACCACCACCACCAACACCACCACCACCACCAACACCACCACCACCACCAACACCACCACCACCAACATCACCACCACCACCAACACCACCACCACCAACACCACCAACACCACCACCACCACCACCAACACCACCACCACCACCAACACCACCACCACCACCAACACCACCACTACCACCAACACCACCACCACCAACACCACCACCACCACCAACATCACCACCAACACCACCAACACCACCACCACCAACACCACCACCACCACCAACACCACCACCACCACCAACACCACCACCACCAACATCACCACCACCACCAACACCACCACCACCACCAACACCACCAACACCACCACCACCACCACCAACACCACCACCACCACCAACACCACCACCACCACCAACACCACCACCACCACCAACACCACCACCACCAACACCACCACGACCACCAACACCACCACGACCACCAACACCACCACCACCAACACCACCAACACCACCAACACCACCACCACCACCACCAACACCACCACCACCACCAACACCACCACCACCAACACCACCACCACCACCAACACCACCACCACCACCAACACCACTACCACCAACACCACCACCACCAACACCACCACCAACACCACCAACACCACCACCACCACCAACACCACCACCACCAACACCACCAACACCACCACCACCACCAACACCACCAACACCACCACCACCACCAACACCACCAACACCACCACCACCACCAACACCACCACCAACACCAACACCACCACCAACACCACCACCAACACCACCAACACCACCAACACCACCAACACCACCAACACCACCACCAACACCAACACCACCACCAACACCACCACCAACACCAACACCACCACCAACACCACCACCAACACCAACACCACCACCAACACCACCACCAACACCACCAACACCACCAACACCACCAACACCACCAACACCAACACCACCAACACCACCACCACCATCACCACCACCACCAACACCACCACCACCAACACCACCAACACCACCACCACCAACACCACCACCACCAACACCACCACCACCAACACCACCACCACCACCAACACCACCACCACCAACACCACCACCAACACCACCACCACCACCAACACCACCACCACCAACACCACCACCAACACCACCACCACCAACACCACCACCACCAACAGCACCACCAACACCACCAACACCACCACCACCAACACCACCACCAACAACAACAACACCACCACCACCAACACCACCACCACCACCAACACCACCAACACCAACACCACCAACACCACCAACACCACCAACACCACCACCACCACCAACACCACCACCACCAACAACACCACCACCACCAACACCACCACCACCAACACCACCACCACCAACACCACCACCACCACCAACACCACCACCAACACCACCACCAACACCACCACCACCAACACCACCACCAACACCACCACCACCAACCCCACCACCACCAACACCACCACCAACACCACCAACACCACCACCACCAACACCACCACCACCAACACCACCACCACCACCAACACCACCACCACCAACACCACCAACACCACCACCACCACCACCGCCACCACCAACACCACCACCAACACCACCACCAACACCACCACCAACACCACCAACACCACCACCACCAACACCACCACCAACACCACCACCACCGCCACCACCAACACCACCACCAACACCACCACCAACACCACCACCAACACCACCAACACCACCACCACCACCACCGCCACCACCAACACCACCGCCACCACCACCACCACCAACACCAACACCACCACCAACACCAACACCACCACCACCAACACCACCACCACCAACACCACCACCACCAACACCACCACCAACATCACCACCACCAACACCACCAACACCACCACCACCACCAACACCACCACCACCAACACCACCACCACCACCAACACCACCACCACCAACACCACCAACACCACCACCACCAACACCACCAACACCAACACCACCACCACCACCAACATCACCACCACCAACACCACCAACACCACCACCACCAACACCACCACCACCAACACCACCAACACCACCACCAACACCACCACCACCACCGCCACCACCACCAACACCACCAACACCACCACCACCACCAACACCACCACCACCACCAACACCACCACCAACACCACCACCAACACCACCGCCACCACCACCAACACCACCAACACCACCAACACCACCACCAACACCACCACCAACACCACCACCACCGCCACCACCACCAACACCACCAACACCACCACCACCACCACCAACACCACCACCACCAACACCACCACCAACACCACCACCGCCACCACCACCAACACCACCACCACCAACACCACCACCAACACCACCACCACCAACACCACCACCAACACCACCAACACCACCACCACCACCAACACCACCACCAACACCACCACCACCACCACCGCCACCACCACCAACACCGCCACCACCACCACCGCCGCCACTGCCACCACCACCGCTGCCGACACCACCACAACCGCCACCACCACCACCGCCACCACCGCCACTGACACCACCACCGCCACCACCACCACCGCCGCCACCGCTGCCGCCACCACCGCCGCCACCAACACCGTTGCCGCCGCCGCCGACACCACCACCACGCGTGGCGGTGGCGGGGGCGGGGGCCCTTGCCGTTCGCGACACCACGTGGCATGTCAAGGGGTTGCGAGTGGATCAGGAGGCAAAATAATGAAATAGTTTTTGGCTCGCCTCGTGGTCCAAATCGTCAAGCGCCGCGGTGGCGAGATGGTGAAAGGTGGGGGGGGGGGAGGGGTGAAAGGTGGGGGGGGGTGAAAGGTGGGGGGGAGTGAAAGGTGGGGGGGGGGATAAAAGGTGGGGGGATGAAAGGTGATTGGGGGGGGGATGAAAAGTGGTGGGGGGGGTGTAATTGTGGGGATGAAAGTTGGTGGGATGAAAAGTGGTGGGGGGGGGATGAAAGGTGGTGGGGGGGGGGGGGGGGGTGAAAGGTGGGGTGGGGTGGGGGGGTCGCATTTTGACCGCCCACGATCTTCTCGCCGCACGTGGCACGATGTTGGATATTTCTTAATTTTTTATCGACTCGCAGAGACAGGGCGGACTTTGCGCAGCGGTATAAATATTTTCATTCGGAAAAGATCGAGCGACGGATTAAGCCACCGTCCCCTCCCTTGACGTTGTTTGGTTGTCAATCGTCGTAATTAGAATCGCAGCAGCAGCCGGCGGATTTTGGCGATAGCGATTGAACAAAGGACCGTGGCCATCTCATCTGCGCTTCCGCGGCCATCTGGAACGCTCCTCCTGTTGACACGAAGGAAGCGCCTGCCCTGTGCTTATGCATTTTTAAATCATCAAGATTAGCGCACTCATTTCTTGATAACTGCTTTGTGTGTGTGTGCGTGTGTGATGAGTTTGTGTAGCACGGTTCTGGCGATGTAAGGTGCGAAATAATTTCAACGTACATGGACGCCTCTACTTACAAACATTCGACTTACGAACTTTCAGAGAACTTTCAGAGAAACCTGGTCCCGTATGTCCAGTTGCCTGTTTAGAACCGCGAGTCGTAAGTTCAACCGCCACGCAAAATATAACGGTGATGGCATCTACACCTGCAAAAACATTAAGAACCAGTGGCAGGCTGTGGCAGGAGCAGGCGTGGCAGGAGCAGGCGTGGCAGGAGCAGGCGTGGCAGGAGCGGAGGGGAGGGGCATTCACCAAGGCATGACGGAGCGCAACAAATACAGCCTCCTCCGCCTCCCCCCAATGAAACTTCTGACCCTTGGCCGTCAAGGCGTAGAGGGTTTTTGCGATGGTAGCGAACCCGGCAACAAAACGTCGATAATAAGACGCGAAGCCTATGAAACTCCTCACCGACCCCACCGACGTGGGGTTCGGACAAGTCCGAACACACGCGGTTTTGTCGAGGTCCGTCGCAACGCCCCGATTTGCTGACAATATGACCGAGATACCGCACGGACTTTTTTTAAGGAGGTGACGCTTTTGCGGCTTAAATTTGAGATTGGCCGCACGCATTTTGACAAAGACAGCATGCAGCCGATCAAGGTGTTCTTTGAACGTACGGCTGAAGACGATGACATCGTGGAGGTGTATTAAGCATGAGTCCCACTGAAGTCCAGCAAGGACCAGCTCCATCAATCGTTGGAACGTAGCCGGCGCGGAGTGGAGCCCCATAGAAAGCCGATTGAATTCGAATAGGCCCTGAGGTGTACCAAAGGCTGTTTTGGGCCTAGAGGCTTCGTCCAGTGGCAACTTCCAAAATCCGGACAGGAGATCAAGGGTAGAGAAATAGTGGGTGCCCGCTAGGGCGTCCAGGGAATCGTCCAACCGAGGGAGAGGATAAGCAGCAGCTACAGATATCTTGTTGAGCTTGCGAAAATCGACACAGACGCGCAAGCTACCATCAAGCTTTTTAACAAGAACGATAGGGGCTCCCCACGGGCTGGTGGACGGCGAAATGATGTCTGCTGCTAGCATTTCATCAACCGCTAGCCTAACATGCTCCTTCTCAGCAGGGCTCAGGCGGTGAGGGTTCTGCCGGATGGGAGCCGCGTCGCCCGTATCGATATGGTGGCTCAAAAGCGTAGTACGGCCGATGTCAAATTTCCCCGTGCAAAAAACGTCAGCAAACTCACGTAAGAGCGCCCTCAAGTCATCCCTCTGGGACTCGGACAAGTCCACACTCTCTGAACAAAGCGATCTCAACCACTCGTCGTCCGAACCCCCAACAGCACATCCCTCGTGAAGCGCGGGCGACGCATGCGCTAACACGGTGCCCTCCTGAACAATGGACGTGTCCGGCCCATCGTTGAGAACCTGTATGAAGGGTTCCTGGTCGTTGGACACCAGGGTCTGGGATCCAACTAACGTCAATCCCTTCGCGGCCTTATTGGAGGGTCCCAAGAGGATCCCTCCCACAGTCGCTGTCCGGTCTAATGGCTTGCGCAAGCAGAAGGGGATCAACATTTTTGCGTCAGGGGGAACACGAACGGTCTTAGACGCCAGTGCTTGCACAGTGGCGTTGGCCGTACACACCCGAGCGAGAGACGGTAACAATGCCATACGATGGCCCGACGGCAATTCAATGCATCCTTGGTTAATGAGAATTTTGACCGGCATCTTACCATAAAAACCAGTCCCGAGCAAGCGTGGAACTGCAAGGGACGTGGATACGAGAACCGGTCCCCGTTAATTTAACATCGCCAATACACACCTGTGCGGATAATTTACCAATGACGCCCAATGAGCCGCCGTTTGCGGCGAAGCACGGAACATCAACGGGGCATAGGGCACGGCATTTAGCTGGAAAAATGTTATAGATTAGCTCAGAAATCATGGTCACCGACGCACCCGTGTCGACGAGCATCCTAACGTCGACCCCTTCGATTGAACCAACAGCAACAGACGAACCAGCGGTTCGCGACAACCCGTCCATGGGCCAGCTCCGACCACTGACCCGGTCGGAGCGGCCAGTCGGCGGGTGGACGACGGCGTTGTGTCCGGAGAGGCGCCCGCCGTGGCGCAAGGCAACCCGCCGAGACGTGTCCCGGCAGGCCGCAGTTGAAGGACCCGGCGCGGCCGCGCCCCGGGCGAGGTGATGTCCTCCCCCGGCGTTGGAAGTCGTCCCGTCGCGCCATGCCGTCCCCTCTTCAACCTCCGCCCTGAGTCGATGCGCAGGCTTGAGCCGGCTCGAGCCGGGCTCCGTGACCTCCGCTGCATCCCGCGCCTCACGCCCCTAACCCCTTTGTCTTATTGCAGGAGCAGGTGAGCTTGAATGCACCTGGCAGCTTTGAGCGTACACAAGTCACCGTCGTCGATGGCTTGAATGACGATATGGAGGTCTCGTTTGGACGGCGGTCCGTAGATCTTCCGCCGTCTGCTTTAACGCCGGCCGCAGCGTGGACCTGTTCCCCCGGCAGGATGGTGGCAAAGGCTGCCAGGGCGTCTCCGTCTCCGTCTCAGTCCACCCCGCCATCTCGCTGTCGGAGAGGAAGCGCCGCTGGAAGTCCGCCCAGTCGCCTCCCGCGGCTGAAAACTATTTGAGAACGGGCAGGCGGCGTCGAAGAGACGGAGTGTGCACCGGCGGTCGCGGTGCAGCTTCGGTTTTGGCGGGAACTCCGCCCCGCTCCGCCAACAAGATGGCGACCGTAGGCGCGGGCTGTGCCGCGAAGGCTCCTGATTGGCGGGAATCTTGGGCGGGAACCGCGGAGGCTCCCGGTTGGCGGAGAGTTTCGGCGGGAATTGCGGAAACTTCGGCGGGAACTGCCGGGATGCGCGGCTCCATGCATCTCTCCTCCGCCGCTGAATCCCCGCGGTGGACCTCGGCGATAATGGACGCCACGGCGTGGAGAAGCTCAGCGAGGTGGGAGTGTGCCGCCCGGAGAACCCTCCCCGACGGTGGCGAGCCGCCGTGCGGCCGGACGGGCGTGCGGCTCCGTCGGCGGCGCCTCGCCTCCCTCCTCCGGGGTTGTCATCCCCGGGGCTGCTGGATCGTCGCCTTCATCATCCAACGTCCTGGTACGTACCTTCCTTCTTGTATCCGTTAACTATAGTTATTTAACTAAGAGCGTTTGGCCACTTCTGACACCAGTTGTAGTGGGCTCAAACGGAGACTCAGACGTCCTGTTTGGAGGCAAAACACATTTACTAATGCCAACACACTAACATAAATGAGTAACTGCCCCTCTACCAGAGAGTAACCTATGGTGGTGGTCCAACGCGGCTAACTACACTGACTACACTGGGAGTAGCTACGATGGACGAGACCCCAGCATGGGTCCAGGTCCCCGTGTTGGTGACCTGTCTTCGGACGTACCCGTAGCACGTAGATCCTTGAGGATCACAACAGCGGCCGGTCCCGCTGGGAGGCCCGGCTTATATTCTTTGTGGTGGAGCTCGCTCCTCCCCTAGCCACGACCCCCTTCTCGAACTATCGAGGAGGATCTCCGCTTGACACGTGGTCCCCCCAGCCCCCCTTTTGGGGGTCCCCGACATCCAGCGATGTCACTACAGAGGTATCCCAGGGAAGTCCGCCTGCTTGTGCGGCAGCATCGGAGAGGCCGGCTAGGCGGTCCACAATCTACCCGTGGCGCTGTGTGTGTGGGTATGGGGAGCGGTAGTGTAGTGGTCCACAGTCATGCCCTCCCTTCTCTATGCTTGTGAAACGTTGACCCCCTCTAATGGAACATCTGCGCCGGTTAGAAACATTCAGGATGGCCTGCCTACGATCCATCCTGGGTTTAACTAGGCTGGACTGTGTGAGGAGCGCACAAATCCTTGAAAGATCGGGACACATTCCCATCAGTGGGCTTCTCCAGCAGGCAAGGCTGCGTTGGCTGGGTCATGTAGCCCGCATGGCCAGCCACCGCATGCCCAAGCAGCTTCTGTTTGGCCGCATAGAGGGGGCTTAACGGGCACGACACGGGCTGGAGAACAGATGGAGCGGTACGGGAGGATGTGAAGCTGAGTGGACTTGCCGACGACTACTCCCGCGGTCTTAAGATCGGCCTCTATGGAGGAGGCTCGTGAAGGACGCTGCTACTGGGCATTTGGAGGCGGTCACCCTCCAGCAACAACAGAGGGCAGAGGAGGGACGCTCACAATTAGTGGAGAGCCTCGCGGATAAAATCCAGCAAGTTGGCACAGTAAGGGGGCACAGGTGGTGCATCTAGCAGTCATCTCAGTCAGACAGACCCATGGCACCTGCTGGGTCTGTCCGGAGACCTCCTGCCAGCAGCGAGCCTTCGACACTTCACGTGGCCTCAAAGTGCACCTAGCCTGGCACAGGCGTCGTGGTGACATCACCGTCACTTAGTGGCGAATTGCGGCTATTGGTTGGCATTGGTGAGAGTTAGGCTGGGAAGCGGTGGTGTAACGGTTAGCGCTACGCCGCGCTACGAACCCGGCCACCCGAGTTCGATTCCCCACTCACGGCCGACACAAGTGATGAATATCTGAAGCGGTCCTGGGCCTCCCCTAGGTCCATTCAGCCTCAAACGAGGACCTGGTGCAGTAGCGTGGAAAAAAAAAACATCGCCGCTGGGGGAGACAAAGGCGGTCGGGTGCGGTGTTGGCCACCCACCCCCTCGTGTGCCGTGCCGGCCTTCATAGGTGCTGCTCGCCAACAGCACTTGCCCCAACAGTCTGTTAAAGGCTACGGGGGGGGGGGGGTGTCTTTTTTTTCTTTGCGATCGAGTAAATCCGCGGTGCAGCGTTTACAACGTGACACGAGTCACGGTTGTGTTGAGAGGAAACCGCAGAACCCCGCAGGGAACGCCAGGGTGAACAGGAGAACAGACAAACTCCACGCACAAAGAAGGAGACGAAGATCCCCTTGTATAGCCCTTCACAGGCTGTTCGGGCAAGTGCTGTGAGCGCGCACCTTTGATGGCCAACACCGGCAGGCGAGGGGGCGGGTGGCCAGCAACACGCCTTTGTCTCCAACGGTGTTCGTGTGGACACACCATACCAAGTACTCATTTGAGGCCGAGTCGACCTAGGGGATGCCCGGGACCGTTTCGGGCGATCGTCGCTGGGTGTTTGTCGGCCAGGGAGCGGGAATCGAACTCGAGGCGACCTCTGGGGCACGGCTCAGCACCATAGTCTTTCGTTCTTTCGGTAAAGTCACGGAGATAGAACACAAAAAATAAATAAAAATTAAATTAAAAATAATAAATTGAAAATAATCAAAGCAAAAAAACCCACAATAAATATAAAAGTAGTAAATTAAAATGAAAAATAATAATAATAATAAATTGACAATAATAAAAAGCAAAAACAAAACCCGCGACCGTTTCGATCGCAACACAGTCGGCCTTCATCAGTCAACATTTAACCGGCTCATCACCCAGTTCAGATTCATCGTCACCAAGGCGCTCAGACTCGACTCCCCTCTGCAGAGCGGGGGGGCTGAGCCGTCCAAACCACCACCCACCCCCCCACCCCCCCCAGTCTCCCCCCCGTCTCGCCGTGGATTTTGCAACAATGTTCTTGCCGATTTAAAAATGTTGCAACTCTCTTTTTTTAATATACATATAACGGCATAATTGCCGTTGATGATTAATTTTACAGCTCCACGACCCCGTCCGATCGAGCACGCGCTCGTGGAGGCAAGCCCGCCCCAAGGTGGCCGTGCCACGGTCAGCAGTGCCAGCGGGGCTTTGCACCCAGAGGGCCACCGGTTCGACTCCAGCCTCCTGGCGTCACCGCAGTTGGACTGAGGGTCAACGTTTCTTAACCCCGTAACCCCACGCATCCCCTACTCTCCATCGCGCCGTCAGCTCTGGCCACCCGGCAGCATGGATGGTGGCGAGGAGATGTTGACTGCCTCGCCCGGCGTGCAGGAGGTCGTGGGTTCGATCTCGACCCTGACGCCTGCTGCTGCTGTGTGTTTGGAGTTTGCGTGTCTCTCATCATCATCATGATGGCTGTGAGATGTTGACTACCTCGCCCGGTGTGCAGGAGGTCGTGGGTTCGATCCCGACCCTGACGCCTGCTGCTGTATATTTGGAGTTTGCGTGTCTCTCTCTCATCGTCATCACGGTGGCTAGGAGATGTTAACTACCTCGCCCGGTGTGCAGGAGTTCGTGCGTTCGATCCCGACCTTGACGCCTGCTGCTGTTGTATATTTGGAGTTTGCGTGTCTCTCTCATCATCATCACGGTGGCTAGGAGATGTTAACTACCTCGCCTGGTTTACAGGAGGTCGTGGGTTCGATCCCGACCTTGACGCCTGCTGCTGCTGTATATTTGGAGTTTGCGTGTCTCTCTCCCCGTGGCCACGTGGATTTTTCTCCGGGTCTTCCGGTTGTTCCCCTCCACATTTAGAAACACGCGTTTAGAGTATCTGGCTGCTATTATAAATGCCCACGCGATAATGATCAAAATTCGTCGAGCTTTCATTTATTTTCCAGAAGCCAGGTCGCTCCTGAAATAGAGCTGTGTAGCTCAATGGTAACGTAAAAAAATACAGCGATACCTTGACTCTCCTCCACCAGACTCTCCTCCACCAGACTCTCGTCCACTTGACTCTCGTCCACCAGACTCTCGTTCACCAGACTCTCCTCCACTTGACTCTCCTCCACTTGACTCTCCTCCACCAGACTGTCGTCCACCAGACTCTCGTCCACCAGACTCTCGTCCACTTGACTCTCGTCCACTTGACTCTCCTCCACCAGACTCTCGTCCACCAGACTCTCGTCCACCAGACTCTCGTCCACCAGACTCTCGTCCACCAGACTCTCGTCCACCAGACTCTCGTCCACCTGACTCTCGTCCACCAGACTCTCCTCCACTTGACTCTCCTCCACCAGACTCTCGTCCACCAGACTCTCGTCCACCAGACTCTCGTCCACCAGACTCTCCTCCACTTGACTCTCGTCCACCAGACTCTCGTCCACCAGACTCTCGTCCACCAGACTCTCGTCCACTTGACTCTCGTCCACTTGACTCTCGTCCACTTGACTCTCGTCCACTTGACTCTCGTCCACAAGACTCTCGTCCACAAGACTCTCGTCCACTTGACTCTCGTCCACCAGACTCTCCTCCACTTGACTCTCGTCCACCAGACTCTCGTCCACCAGACTCTCCTCCACTTGACTCTCCTCCACCAGACTCTCGTCCACAAGACTCTCGTCCACCAGACTCTCGTCCACTTGACTCTCGTCCACCAGACTCTCCTCCACTTGACTCTCGTCCACCAGACTCTCGTCCACCAGACTCTCGTCCACCAGACTCTCGTCCACCAGACTCTCCTCCACTTGACTCTCGTCCACCTGACTCTCGTCCACCAGACTCTCCTCCACTTGACTCTCGTCCACTTGACTCTCGTCCACTTGACTCTCCTCCACTTGACTCTCCTCCACCAGACTCTCGTCCACCAGACTCTCGTCCACCAGACTCTCGTCCACCAGACTCTCGTCCACCAGACTCTCGTCCACCAGACTCTCGTCCACCAGACTCTCGTCCACCAGACTCTCGTCCACCAGACTCTCGTCCACTTGACTTTCGTCCACCAGACTCTCGTCCACCAGACTCTCGTCCACTTGACTCTCGTCCACTTGACTCTCGTCCACTTGACTCTCGTCCACTTGACTTTCGTCCACCAGACTTTCGTCCACCAGACTTTCGTCCACCAAACTTTCGTCCACCAGACTTTCGTCCACCAGACTTTCGTCCACTTGACTCTCCTCCACTTGACTCTCGTCCACCAGACTTTCGTCCACCAGACTTTCGTCCACCAGACTTTCGTCCACTAGACTTTCGTCCACAAAACTTTCGTCCACCAAACTTTCGTCCACCAGACTTTCGGCCGTTTTAAATTATCACCACATTTCAACTTTCGTCCACGTGGCTCTCCTCTTTCGTCCGATTTCATACCAACCCTTCCACGACGTTCGCACCACGCGCCATCTTTTTCGTTCAGTCTTTGAATAGAAGTCGTTCAGTGAGCATCTCTTATGTATTCATATATTACACTGTGTAACAAAAATGTTTTAAACCTTTTTTGTTCCTGGGGAGTGTTATTTCCTAATTGCTTATGCCTCAAAAGTACAGAAAAAGGCTATTATTACCCACAAACTTTGCTTTTGTGACCAGGACAGTGATATTTTGAAATTTACCTATTTTCAATGCGAAAACGGGCGAATTTGTGTCTTTTTGTTCACACAAAGTCATAAAAAACCTACATATGAATCAAAATGCTTAATACTGTATTTACTTCCGTGATTATACTGTAAACAATTAATAGTTATTTTTGTGATAACAGCAAAATACTACAGTGTTATTTTTGTGATTATAAAACACGTGTACAGTATTCATACTGTGCTTATTTTTGTGATTACTAGTAAAATAATAATTATTTTTTTTTGTAAATAAAGGCTCTGCTTTGACATTCGTCCGTGTTTGACATCCGTCCATGCTCTGGTCCCTAACCGAACGAAAGAGCACGGTAATTCCTGAACAGTTTCGTTTAAACGACGTGTGGAGCGGCAGGCTAGTCACGTGCGGAGGTGGAGTGCAGTGTGGGTAACTCGCACGGCTTTCTAGAGCGGGCGACACAGCTGCCTCTGGTGGCGTGAGCCGGAAATTGCAGGGCTAACACCCTTGATCTCAGGGGTGGGGAACGTCCGGCCCACGAGCCCTATAAGGCCCCGCAAAATCATTTGGGCCTGGCCCTGCCAAGGCAACCGCGGGCGGGACTCGAAATGCAATAAATCTAGGTAGAGCAAACCTGGAAAAAGCAGTTGCGAGTAGCTGCAACATCGTCAATAGCGGCTAACATCATCACCACAAGCCTCGCCAAAGAGGAGCAGTTCCAGCCCCATCGCATTAGGTTGGCGAGTTAATTAAATGTTTGACCAAATATAAACGGGCTAAATTTTAAGTTGATAATTTTTACATGAATATCCAAATGGCCCTTGGCAGAAAAAAAAAAACGTTCCCCACCCCTAGCTTTATCTTTGTAGTGATCATTGTATTTCTGTACGACCCATCACACCTTCACGCAAATCACACACAAAAAAAAAACAACGCCACGCCCGGCCGCCTTCGTCTCCGCTGTTGCGATGTTCGTGTTTTGGTTGCGCACAGCCACCACGTGCTCATTTGAGGCCGAGTCGACCTAGCGGAGGCCCGGGTCAACCGGTTCAGATTATAATCGTCACTTGCCACTGGCCGTGAGCTGGGAATCGAATTCGGGTCCGCCCGCGGGTTTCGGAGACGCAGCGCGCTAAAGGGGCCGTCCATAAATGACGTCACGCGATTTTGGACGATTTTTGATCCCCTCCCCCCCCCATCGTCACACGGCGTCACAAAAAGTCAGACCCCCCCCCCCTCCTCAAATATGACGTCACAAAGCTCTGCCCCCCCCTCCCTCAAAACTATATTTCCATTTTCTTTGTTTTTTTCGGAAAAGTCACGTAGAATGAGAATAAAATAATAAATTAATAAAATAACATAACACAATAAAATTCTCACGACGTTTCGGCCACAACACAAGTGGCCTTCTTCAGGTGAAAGGAACAGACCTGTCGGGACGACAGGGCTTCAAATCGAAATTTATATTTCCATTTTGAAAATAAAACATGCTTCAAATCGCTTTAAACTATTGTCATTGTAGTGCGTATTTAATGTGGCGCTGCACTCTGATGTTGTAGGAGTGTTGTTTTATTATTTTATTGTTTCCCTTCAACGTGATTTTACCGAAAGAGCTAAGAATAACAATTAGTGTTGTTATAACAATTCTATATTTATGTAAAGTTGCGTCTAATTTCTCAAACCCCCCCTCCCTCCCCTCGTCACACATCGTCACAAATGTCTGACCCCCCCCCTCCTCCCTAGGTGCGTGACGTCATTTATGGACGGTCCCAAAGCACTGCTCCACCGTCTCCCCAACACGTGGCGCACACAGTTGCCACGTGTGAGAGGCGCGCGATGGTTCAGCGTCACAATGGGGTGGGTGGGGTGGGTGCTGATCGGCGTGGGGTGTGTGGGCGCTACCGTGGGGTGAGGAGCGGTAGTGTAGCAGGTAGCGCTGCGGACCCGGGGAACCCCTGGTTCGATTCCCGCTCACGGCCAGCACCCAGTGACGAGCATCTGAACCGGTCCCGGTCGACTCAGCCTCCGATGAGTGCCTCGTGCGGTTGTGTAAACATCGCCGCTGGGGAGACAAAGGCGGCCGGGCGTGGTGCTGGCCACCCACCCCATCCCCCGTGCGCCGTTCCGGCCTTTATCGGTGCTCGCCAACAGCACTTGCCCCGACAGTCTGTTAAAGGCTACACGGGGGATCTTTGTCTTTGTCTTGGGGTGGGGCGCAGTCGGGGTTGTCCGGGCTGGGTCTTGTTGTTGTTGTTGTCTTCTCTCACGTGGCCACTTTTCACCGTCAGATTACGGCTGACCCCCACCACCACCACCACCCCCTCCCTCCCGCCCGCCTCTTTCAAATTTAATTTAATTATCCGTGGGTCGCTCGTAGGGCAGCAGCAGCAGCAGCAGAAAAAAAGTGAATTCATCGCCGGCAGCTTAAGTGCGAGCGGCGAGCGTGGTGGTGACGGCGCTGGTGGTGGTGGCGGTGGTGGTGGTGGTGGTGGCATTGGTGGTGGTGGCATTGGTGGTGGCGGTGGTGGTGCCATTGGTGGTGGTGGTGACGGTGGTGGTGGCATTGGTGGTGGTGGTGGTGGTGGCAGTCACGGCGACGACGGTGGTGGCGGTGGTGGCGAGCGAAGACGCACGATGGTGATGATGATGAGCGTCTCTAGACCATGCTGCCCCTCATAAGGAGTGAGTCTCTTGACAGTGACATCGAACAGAGGTGAGAGGAAGATGTTTGGTGGGCGGTGGTGGTGGGGGGCTGAAGGGGGGGGGGGCGGGATGGAGAGGGGGGGGGTCTCGTGGTTTGGTAGGGGCCACGTCGATTTAAGTTGGGGGGGGGGGGGGTGGTGTCGGTGATGTCTTCTCTGCCAATGTTTGTGTCCTCTGGTGAGATCTCGCTCCTGGATTCTCTCTCTCTCTCTCTTTCTCCCTGTGCCAAACCTCACCCCTGGGCCAGTCCTCAAATCGATACTGCGCGCACCTCATCCCGGCTGCCCCTTGAATTGCGAGCCTGCGCCTGGGCCAGCCGTTGGTGTCACGAGTTCACAGTCTCTGGTGGCTCTCGCGGAGCCCTCCGTTCTCCGCCGTCTTGGCCCAGCAAAGCGACGATCAAAGCGTGAATTGAGGCACGGGGGGAGGGGGTGGGGTCACACCATCCGCAACCTCGCCTCCCCAATGCCCCTCTGCTCAGCGGACACGATTTGTGAAAGTTGCGGGCAACGTCTCGACGCGTACCTCTACGCGTGGACACGCGCAAGAGGCAATAATTGGCATGCTGTTTCACGGCAGTATCACACCAACAACAATAATAATAATGACAATTTGTGTAAAGTTGGCGCCTGCAGGGTGTACGGCCAGAACTCGGCACGGGGGCGAAGGCCGCTTTAAAAAGAGGCGAATTTCCAAGACGGGACTTAAACAACCAACAGCCCCGA